AATGGTTCATCAGATGGAGATGGAACTAGAACTGGGCTCCCCCACGCTGTGGGTGGGGAAAGGGATCCAGAAGTGAAGATTATTTTAAACTTCATAATATAAAATGATCCTATGATCTAAGCTAAGAGAAGCAATGATAGTGCTGAAAACTTCTCTGTTCAGGAGCCTATAGAGTGAAGAAAAGTGTGTTGTTTTTAGAGGTATTACCTCTGCTGTATTTGTATTCAAAGGTCATGAACAAAGGAAATGACCGAGCTAACAGCTTATTTGTTTGGCATAAAACAAATCAAAGAAGTTACAAATTCAGGGTTACTGTTTTTTTGTTTGCTAATCTGGATGAATGGCAATGTTTAACTTGTTCTTAATCCTAAATGATGCTATAAATCTTTTGGAGAGGGATATTAACACCAAAGAGATTACGGAGATGCTTGAACAAAGTTCTTCAGATGAGTCTGAACGGACAAGCACCTAATCTACAAACAAGTAAAAGAAAAGTCATTATTTGGGAGAGATGGGATGGGGGAGAAAAGAATAGGACAAGGATTGTGATTGTTGCATTGACTGCCAATTAATAATCTCCATGACCACAACAGCGGTCATCTAAAATAGAAATGAGATCGGATTTAAATAGTTACATGCTTAAAGCCTCTGCACTCCTCGTGCCATTTTAGTGGAAAACATTCCATTCTGCACAGTTACAGCATCTTCAAGTACAAAGGTATCACTTGCCAGCAAAATCAACATTTATGTGCTTTCAGTCCCCAGCTTGATTAAAGAGTTCTATTCTTCTAACTAACAGATAGGAGAAAAAGAGGCTCCTGCTCTCAACACTGAAGACCTTGGACTCAAAAATTGCCTTCATCTCAAATAAGTAAGATTCTAAGGCAATCAGTACTCCAAAATAAAATGCTAAGTGAAAAAGTATTAGACCAGTTTTCCACTGACCAGTGTTTTCATTCGCAACACAGGTGTGTTGAAAACTGCTTAGACAGATGGTCTCAAAAGATAGTGATCAATGTCCAGAATACTGGGCAACAAGTGGAGAGCTTGGGAATGATTTTTTCATATCTCCATGACTAACAGAGATGTTAATACAGAATGCATCACCCACAATAAGATGAGGGGATGAATGTTGGACAGAGTAAAGAGCAGAGATTTGCTCCAGAGGGATGTTGGGAGATCAAAAGTACCTGTCCAAACACATAAACAAACGTCTCCATATTTCTCATATGCTAATTTAGTGAACTAGAAGGAATCAAAGAAATCCTTCTTCCAAAGACATCTGTTGATAGGATAGAGAAGTACATTGCATTATTTTAACTGGTTTTGGTGAGTATTTTGTGTTAGGTGGAATTTGCCACTGCTATGATATAAAGAGATGATACAGGTTAAAGTCTCATAGAAAATTTCAAACTTTATTTGCCTGGCTCTTTTTTTCTATTTCAGAATTAGCATGGTAAAATATATTACAGTGTTTTCACTGTGTTATGGATTTGAGGATTTGAATGCATAGAAAAACTGGATCTGAGCACATGTAATCAAATTCTTCTGTGGATTACACTTGTGCATGTAAATGCAGCATCGCCCTCTGCACAGTACCAGCACACTCACAACAACTCTGAGGGACTGATTAAATGTTAATAATCTGTTATTTGGCTCCTCTTTCTACCCAGCTTCCCACAACCGTTCCTCTGTTTCCAGTTACAGATGTTGAAGTGCTAAGTATTATCTCAGTGCTCGAGTAACATGGTCATGGGATTCAAAGAGATCTCACATGCTGCACATTTGAGCAAGAAAATGCCTGTGGTAACTCCTTCTACCTTTCTTTTTTCTCCCATAGCGGACCTATACAGCCTGCTCAAGGCTCTGCCTGTGTTCCTGTATTACTACTGGGATTTTATCTGCTCATTATTGATTTCAGTGAACGCTTTCTTCTGACTTTCAAAATCAGCTGCCAGAGGATAATTCATCTCTCAAAAAATGTTGGGAGGTGGAGATGACTGTAATACTGTCTGGGGGGTGGGTGTAGAAGCGCAGTTGCAAACAGAGCATAGAACATGGGGGAATTGTGTAGGAGGAAGTCTTAAAATTGATATTTTTAAAGACAGGTCAAAATAATAATTTTTATCATATGATTCCTCATTATGTTGAAAGGGGACGCTGGTATCAAATCTTTATTGATGGTTCATTTCTCTTAAGAGCTGGAGCTCATATTAGTATATCACTTAATAATTATATATATACAGTTATCAATTTACAGTTTTCTGCAGCCATGGCTGGTTTTCCATGGCACTGAATAGCTTGCCAGCCAAGAGAAAGAAATATTTGCTTAGTTTTAAGTTTTTAAAATTTAAGAAACAATTTAGGCAATGTATATTAGGCAATATTCCTGTTATCTATTAGCATATTTTCAGGGATAAGAGAGATAGGATTCTTTGATTTTAACATTATATGGTTAACATTATATGTTATTGAACAAGAGCCAGAGACACGTATCCATTTTTTACCATGGAAGTAGCATATAGATTGTATCTTATTTTTAAAAAATGCTCATACAGCTTGTTTTACCTTTTAGTTAGAGCAGGCTAATATATATCACCTCTTCAGAACTTCAATGAAGTTGCTAAACTACCTTAAATCTACTGCTTCCAGTCATGTAACCGCACCCCACAAGTATGAATGCATAGCACTAAAATAAATGTTCCCCAAGAATGCAGAGCATAAACAGAAATTTGGAGGTGAGGGATGGCTGTGGGTGGGAAATATTATGCTTTTCTTTCTTTTGTTATAACCAATATCGCATTTTAATGACCACATCCAGGGAAAAATCAAGCATGAACCATTGTCNTTTCTTTTGTTATAACCAATATCGCATTTTAATGACCACATCCAGGGAAAAATCAAGCATGAACCATTGTCTGTATAGCTTCTGGGTGAAGAGAGACAATGTGCAGAGAAAGGGAGGAGCCAGAAGAGGAACAGACAGACAACTGGGACAATTGGGGCAGTATTCTCTGGAGGTAGTTTCTCTCTAGTCTTGCCAGATTCGACTGCTCTACCTCTACCTAAGTAGGTGAAGGGGAGAGATCCCTGTGTCAGGGGCACTTCCAGCATGGGGAGGTTCATGAGAGAAGGGATGCTGAGTGCCTGCCTCCCTGGCATAACTGAAAGATTATGAATTTCTGGCTGCAGCTGTAGAAACAATACCTTATCTGGGGAGATGATTTTCTCCCACATCAGTCTTTATGCGATTTTTCTCACTGCTCTCGCACTGTAGTGATGTCCTTTAAGGGCTGGGTGTGCAAGTCCTGTCTATGGCAGGAGTTAGTGCATGCTGTATGCTGGCCCAGGGATTAATAACTAGATAACAAATCTTTTTGAATCCTGGCTTGCCTTATGTCTCGATAGGAAAGCAAATCTCACCCTTTTGGCAGCAAATTATTTCATTTCAAGCATGCTGCTGGTAAATTATGTTTTCCAAACTGATGAATGTGGGATTTCCTGTGGTGTAAGTTATTTTGTTTATCTTGGTTGTTTATATTTCAGTTTTATGAAGCAATCTATCTGGGGAGGGGCCTAGAAAACACTGATTGAGGCTTTTCTTCTGATATAGGTCTTCATAACCATAGATCTATATAAAATCAAGTGTGAAAGTAAAAGCCCCCTTCACCCTGGTGCTGAGATGTTGAATACAGATAGTTGTGTTTCTACTCGTATGCTATATTCCTGTACCTCTTTATAGCCATTCATTTTAAAGCCAGCTAATGCATAGAAGATGAAAAAAACTTCAAGAGATTGTAGGAAATAGACTCTTGCATCAGATACAGATCCCTACATAGTCTTCCTAGTAGTTGACTGGAAATGTTACTTCAAACAACTTTCTTGCAAACATTACTCTCAAGTGCAGTGACTGACTTGCTTATAGCCTCCTTACCTTTAAAATTCATTTGTAATTTAGTCTTTGTTCAGTGTATTTGTTTTTCAATTAGCGATTGTAATGCTTGAAATGGTAACAGCAAAACAACTTTTGTCGTGTCTCTTCATATTCTTTCAGTATTCTTCTCTTCCTTCTTCTCAAGGGCTGACAGGCCATATGGACCTCTAGGAAATTTATTAATGCCTTTGTGTCATTACTGTTGTATGACCTCCATTTCTTACAGGTTGCAACTTTGTCTTCTGTTGCTTTCCTTCATCTACTCTAAATATTGATTTTTGTTTTTCTACTCAGTATCTTAATTCCTGATGGTTACAGGGCTTCTGCAATCAATTTCATCATCTTTTCTTTCCCAAAAATAAGATTATGAAGAGGAATATTACCTGGAACAAACTGCTTTAGGACAGTGTATTAAGACATTTGTGATTTTGGGTCATGTTGGTTTTAGTCCTTAGATTGTCTCCATTTCTTAAAAATTTTAAGAAGCTTAGAGAATATAATGCAATCTTGTAACACGTCTTGCAAGTGGACAGTTAAGGGATAGAAAAGTTAGCAAGGCAAAGGAGACCTGGGAGAGAGAACCAAGAGGAAATATGTATTCTCTTGCTTCCTTTCCCTGTTCTTATTTTGTCACATATGCAAGGCAGAGCAACTTTGTGCCACAGAAAGAATAAGTCGTAGTAAATCACAGTCTGTGATCATGTAGTGAAAAATAAAAAGCTGTCAGTTCAGCTGCCAGAATTCTGTAAGATTGCTAGTACAGTTCTGTAAGTTTGCTAATTAAAAAACTATTTAAATATTATTCTGAGAAGTTAAAGAAGGGAAACAAATCTCCGGTAGCCTGTCTGCATTTCTGTAGCTACTTGTAGCTTGTGCTGCATCTGAAGCTACTGTGCCGTGTGATGTTTCAGAGAGGCTCGAAATCAGCAGCCCCTCCACTTTCTGCAGCTCCTGAGTCCCATTGGCTGGAAGGCAAAGCAGAGGCGGAGAGTGCCCTGAATATTTGTCTCTTCCACACACCGTAAAACAGGCAGCCGGCATGCGCTGTCTGAGAGCGAGAGTGGTGCTTGCAGTTTGGAATCAGTTCCTGCTCTGCAGCAGTCACTTGGGCATTTTATGCTCACCTCTCTTTAATGGACAGGAACAAAAAAGCCTTGCAGCATACCAGTGAACTAAACAGGAGCTGACCACAGGGGAGAATCTGATGCAAACATAAAGACTGTTGGGACTCTGTGACATAAATCACCAAGGTAAATGTGAAGATGATCAGAAACTGCATCTGTGAGAGTGTAAACCAATATTTCTGAGTCTGAAACCTGATTTTGTCAGAGTAGTCAAAGTGTTCTGAACTGCTATCTGCCTTGGTCCTAGCTTATTTTTCTTTTTTTCCCAAGTTGAAAAGCCAAAGAAGGTTTTCAGAGGAATGCAAAAGGAACAGGAGTTTTAAAAGCGGGAAGTTGAAAGCGGAACTCCATAAGATGAATTTCACCCAGCATCGTGGGACACTCCAGCCTCTCCATTTTTGGAACCACAGCTACAGACCGCACGGAGGTGCCAGCGAGCCAAATGCAAAGGGCCACTCCTCGGGAGGCTGCTACGAGCAACTCTTTGTATCCCCTGAAGTGTTTGTGACTCTGGGCATCATCAGCTTGCTGGAGAACGTCTTGGTCATTGTGGCGATAGCCAAGAACAAGAACCTCCATTCACCCATGTACTTCTTCATCTGTAGCTTGGCAGTGGCTGACATGCTAGTGAGTGTATCTAATGGATCAGAAACCATTGTCATCACGCTGCTAAACAACACAGACACAGATGCACAGAGCTTTACCATAAACATTGACAATGTCATTGACTCAGTGATTTGCAGTTCCCTGCTTGCATCAATTTGCAGTCTTCTCTCAATAGCAGTGGACAGGTACTTTACTATCTTTTATGCCCTCCAGTACCATAATATCATGACAGTGAAACGTGTAGGTGTTATCATCACATGCATCTGGGCTGCTTGCACAGTCTCAGGCATTTTGTTCATCATTTACTCTGACAGCAGCGTTGTCATCATCTGCCTTATTAGCATGTTCTTCACTATGCTCATTCTCATGGCATCCCTCTATGTCCACATGTTTATGATGGCTCGGATGCATATAAAAAAGATTGCTGTTCTTCCAGGGACTGGTCCTATTCGCCAAGGGGCCAACATGAAAGGGGCCATCACTCTCACCATCCTGATTGGAGTTTTTGTTGTGTGCTGGGCTCCATTTTTCCTGCACCTGATTTTCTACATCTCCTGCCCCTACAACCCTTACTGTGTATGCTTCATGTCCCACTTTAACTTCTACCTGATCCTCATCATGTGCAATTCCATCATTGATCCACTAATCTATGCATTCCGGAGTCAGGAGCTCAGGAAAACATTCAAGGAGATTATATGCTGCTGTAGCCTGAGAGGGCTTTGTGATTTCCCTGGCAAATATTAAACCAAATGGATGTTACTGTGTACACAACATGCAGCACAGATTTCCAAGCCTTCAGATCCTCTTTCTCAGCAGAATTTGCTTTAAACCTTTAAGAGTGAGCACCTCTTTCTGTCTCCCCTCTCTCTCATTCTTGTATCCTATTAGCATGTAATTAATATTTCTTAAAAATGTTTGTGATGTCTACAGTTTGTAATTTATTTAGCTGGAAAGAGAAGTAGCACTTCATAGCAGTTTGTAAGAAGCAAATAAATGTAATGATTTATGTGAAATACCAACAAACACGAACAGCTGTATATTTCAACTGCTGAAAAAATAAATAACTTGCCTGACTTACAGTATGTATTGACTGATACTCTCTCTTATTCTGTTGAAGTAATTATAGCTACATTATATACATCTTAAAATAGAGCATATACTTTTATAATAGTGGATTAGAGGTTCTCTGAAATTAGAAAGCAAATTTTTCAGAAAGGTTAGTAAAACCAACAAGTTGTATTTATTAATTTTGAACTCTTTTTGTTCTACTCCACAGCAGCAATTCTGTTCTTTGTTACAGTTATTCCCCACAGCAACAAGATTTTTCAAACACTTGCTACACGGATAGTTGAATGCTTGGGATTCGGGCTGGGTTTTGTTTTCCAGGTGATGACTGCTGTATGTCTGAGACTACTTCTTTGCAAACTTTAAATTGCTCCCTGGAGCATCACTTAGCCCTGGATATATTGGCAACACTGGCATCCAGGTAGCCTAGCACCCTCCATTCAGCCATGAGGCAGATACAGTATTATCTTTGATAGTGCCAGCACCAGTGCAAAGATTCCCTGAGAGATTTACCTGATGAAGATAAAGTTGGAACTTCATTTTGAACATTCAGTCCTTATTCTGAGGTGCTGTGGGGAACAAGGACTCTGTGCTTCAGAAAAAATACATCCTTGTTGGAAACAAGCTGCCCTCTGCTCTGAACTGTGATGTTAGCAGATGGGATTCACTGCCAGGATCTTTAAAGAGGAGTCAAGGCATGTGTTAATTTGGTCCGAGCACTTCAGACCACACTGTGGAACATGAGGGGTTTGCAGAGGAAATGCTATCACTCAGAGTGAGTGCTGGCTGATGAGTCTGGTTACCCATGTTCTGTATCTGGCAGCCCTGTGTGCTGCTGCTGCTTGAATTCAATTCACTTTTACAAGCATCTAATTGAATGTGTTCTCAGTTTTGCACTAAAACGCCTCTCTCTCCACAGGTTATAGTAGGGACCTCAGGTCCCTGGTATTAGCACTTTTGGAGGCATTTAAAGTATAAATGGGAGTACATAGGACTACGTGAAGATGTCATTTAACATCTCAAAAATATCAGTTTCTATGTAAGGACACAGAAAAATTAATTTCTTTATTCCCAATAACTATAAAGCATAGTGGAAACTTGGAGAAGATCTCATAATCTCTGATTTAAAAACTCAAAATTAAGGGTACAGTACAACTCAGGATTTAATCCGGAATGCTTGATTTTACCAAGATGAACAATGAATAAATTAAAAACAGGATGAGCAGTCCTATTAATTTTCTTAGAAACAGCTTCTTTCTTCAAGATGTTTGTTCCTTCATTAAAGAAAAACATACTATGAAAAGCTTTTCAAAGAGACCAATGTTTGCTACCTGGGATTCTTCAGACAGAAGCTGATCTTTCAGTTGTGGATAACTTTTCAGGATATTTTAAAATTATGACAAAATTTGATCCTCATTCTCTTTTAAAGAGAATGAAGGACTTAAGGTGGGTCTCAGGATTTCTAACTCGAATTTACTTACGAGGAAAGCAAGAACGTAATTTGACTTTATGCATTGAAGGCTCTTAGTAGAATAAAAAATGCCAATGAAGGAGTATTAAAACTCAAGAGGAGAAAACAATAAATGTATTTCAATTAATAGTCTATCCAAAAATTCAATGGACTTTCATAAAGGCCTTTTTTTCTCCCACGACACCTGATACTATCTATGCAAAAAATATTCAGGCCATAATGAAAGAAATTGCTGGTGCTGGTTTGAACAATGCACAAATCTTACTTCATCTTTCTTTAGCCTCACCTTCTATAGCTGTTTTAGGACTGTAAATTATGATACTGGGATCCAGATTTTCCTTTGCAGTCCATGAATGCAGAGAGGACCCAGTGGAAAGTGGCACAAGAGCAAGATACTACATTAGATGCTCTGAGCATTACCTTGAAAGTCCCTATTTCTCCCCTTAAGATATACAAGGACCAGACACCTAATTTAAAGACCTCTGAATTCTGAAGAGGATGTGTGTCTGCAAATTACTTTCTGATCTGCCAGCTGATTCTTAAAACTAACAGTCTCTTTTTTTGTTGTTGTTGTTGTGGGGTTTTTTTGGTTTTGGGGGTTTTTTCCAACCCAAGCAGAAGAAAAATTATAATTTGCATCAATGGTTTTCTTGCAGTTTCCAAAAAGCAGTGTGTATCTCTTTTATGCTTATTTGGACTAAGACTAATCAAGACAGTTATGACCCCACTAAAATTTAAATTTCATTTAGAAACCTAATTTTTAAAACTAGCTTATTACAGAGTTTTAGCAGCTCTGAGCCTGTTTAGTAGCACTTCTGTATTTATTTCATAAAGCTAAATGTATATACATATTTTTTTAAAGAGGACTTTTTCATTTCATGGTATCATTTTTGAGAGTGTAATTAATTGAAATTACTTGAAAACCTGCTACATAGATAATCTTCTATTCTCAGTTAGTCTTTTCCTTCTGAGTAGCTGAATCAGTTTGCCATCCATATAAATTAGTGTAGTGAAAGATAAATAAACTAATCTAGCTTGTTGGAGAGTGGAGAGAGTGGAGGATTATTTTCCACACTCAATTTTCTGGAACTTTGTTCTTCTATTTGAAAATGTCCTGAGAAAATGTGATTTCTTTCTTTAAATAACTGAGGCTCTAATCACTTTGGCACTTATCATTCTAGTCGTGTTAGGTAACAACAGTATATTCCTCTGTGGCAAGGAAATCGTTTTGTCTCCACTTTACGGGTGTAAGGATTTACATTTTCACTCCTGCTGGAAAAAGAGGCTAATGGATTTGCTTCGCCTTCTAGAATGTAGTCTTTACTTGAGCTGGAAATTGATGGTAGTGTTCTCCACACTTTTCACAGAACTGGCTGATACTTTTCTGGAAGAATTTGAAAGTTGGAACTCCTTTTGCTAGGAAGGCTTTCTGCTTAGGTGGTGGCTTTTTCTCAAAGGCTCTTTCTCTCCCCCCCTCCCCCGCATAGCAAGAGAAGTTCTCAGCCTTGCTCTCTGGTACGCAGAGAGATAACATGTTTGCAGACATGTACAAGGCCTCCTTGGGCCAGAGAGAGCAGGGGAGGAGAGAGAGAAGAGAAGGAGGTGGAGCATTGCCTTTTGGCCCAATGAGCTGCATGGTAAAAAAGTGGTCCTTGCATCTGAAATAAACCTTTTCTTTTAATCCTTCCACTGTCTCGGCATTCTTGGGAAGAATACCTGCGTATGTTTTTACCTTACGGTAAAGTAACACACAAAACTTTTGAATGAAACGTCTTACTTCAAAAGTGACATTTCTTTAGCTCTGAAGTAGTTTTTGAACAAAGCAAAGGTCTCCAAAAGGTTCTTAGGAAGCTGGAGTTTGTCTCAGTAGAGTATATTTTGAATGATGATCCAAAATCCCTTTTACAACTGAAACATGCTGTTATCTGGAAGCAAAGAGAAATGGTCTGGTAGACTAACATTATTGAATGTGCAGCAACAATGATGCCTTCAGTTGTGCCTTTAAGAGATATGCAGAGTATGTGTTCTTTTAAAAATCACATAATTCTAAAATTAATTAGTTACTGTTAAACTGATCCTATTATCCAGTGTATTCCTTGAGGCCTCCTTCATTCTCAGGCTTAGTTCTGGTGAAGAACTTTGGTCCTGGTGTCATTTATAATATACTGCGTTGTTTATAGGCTTGCATAGGAATTGCAATCTCAATCTCACTGGAAGGAGCTCTCAGAAAATGTACCTTTAGGCATGAAATTTTCATTGTTTCTCCAGAAAATATCTGATTTGAGATTACTATTCTGATTCCTTCCATCACATCCAAAGTATCCTAGTGTTTTTTCTTTGTATAAAATACTTCTCTCACCTATTACAAGGAACTGTCTACTGCTACTACAGATGCTCACTGTCACACAAGATAGGTTATGAATTGACTCCACCTGGCCTCTTTTTTGGTTTTGCTGGTTTCAAATGGTACTGTTGTCCTAGCTGTTTTTCATATTATTACTCACTCTGTTCACAGATGAAGAGATTTTCAGATCACCCCTTTTGAGTTTATAATGTATAATGTCTTCATCAGTTCTGCTTTTACCCATTTTTTTCCCTTGCAAGTACTAGTAATTTGTTTCAGTTGTTATCCTTCATGCTTGGTATATTTCTGTATTTGCGTATTTCTGGACTGCCATCAATCTGAGTTCTCCAGTCATCTCCTGTCTGTATGGTGAGTCTGTCTTTGTCCAGCAGCAAAACCCCCACACAGTTGGTTGCTCATGCCCCATGTCAGTGGGATCAGGGGAGAAAATAAGAACAAGGTTGAGAAAGCTCTGGATAAAGACAGGGATATCACTTACATACTACTATCACAGATGAAACAGACTTGATTTGGGAATAATGAACTTAATTTATGGCAAATTAAAGTATTTACTTAGTGATTCAGCTAGTGGGAAACAAATGCAAATACTAAAACAACATCTTTCTTCCTTGGTGCTTTTTCTCAGCTACAACCTCACTCCTTCACTCTCAACTCCTCCACCTCCTACCCCACCCAAGCAGTACAGGAGTATGGAGAATATGGGACTGTGGCCAACCCACACCAGCTCCTCTCTGCCACTTCTTCCTCACACTTTTCCCTGCTCCATCCTGGGGCCTTTCCATGGGCTGCAGGGAAACATCTGTCCCACCATGGCTGAGGGGCTTAGCCGTGCCCTACAGAGGGGCCTCTGTAGCTGCTGGAATCAGCTGTATCTATTGCAGGGCAGCCCCTCCAGTGCTGCTACCACCACTGGGGCACCTGTGCTGGGTACAACATGGCAGAGAACAACACTGTAAGCAGCATTTCTGATGCTCTGTACATTTTAGTCAAGTTCCACAGAAAATCCTTCACCTAAATTGTGTGCCTCTCATGTCTAGAGTGCCTCTTGTGTTTTGGGTTTTTTCCCCTGCGATGAAC